CTGTTGTTTGATCCACGAATTCCAGGCTCTCACAGGTTAATCCCCTGCCGAGGTCTACTCAAGATCTGGATCTACAGCTGAAGTCTATCACCGCAACAGAACTGTACCAGATGCATCATATACAGAGACTGTCCTCATCGGAAAACACTTCAAATATCACATGTTCATGTTTTCTTGACAAGCTAAATCAAGCAACCTCTTGCAGTTGTGCGGCTAATGACTGTCCTCCCTCGATAGAAGAGGTGGAAGAACACTGATGTTGTTGTACTGTCACAAAAATAGTCGGAGAGGTGTGACTGAAACAGCTTTCAGTGTTGGTTTCTCTTGATATTTCTTTAGCCTTAAATCAGTAGTCCTGGGGAGCACTAATGCACATGTGGAAGAAAGTTGTACAAAGCTTTTTGTGGCTCCAGAGGGAGCCGTGCAAAGCAGGTTACATTTCCACAAGTGATGTCACTTGAGGCAGCGTTGGGACTGAAGACTGAAGAGTTTGAAATTGATGGTGCAGGGTTAGAAAGAAGTGGGTTCACCAGACCTTGTTTGATCTCTGCCAGATTTGCTGCATTGATTTTTTTTTTTTTTTTTTTTTTTTACTGTCCATTGTGAGTGCAACAATGTTACATTGGTGCAATGCTAAATCGGTTTCACATGAGAAGGACAAGTGGCCATATTCAGACGGCATTGACTGTAGTCATTACTATGTTTACACTACCGATTCAGCATGGTGGACATAAAGCTGTGCTCTGTATTTGGTCACCTTTATATGATACTTGATACAATACTTTCAAGTATCTCTGACATTAAGAAGAGGCAAATTTAAGGTTGCGAGGAACACAAGTACACATCAATATCTCCTGCAAGCTAGATCAGTATGTGATAGGTAAATTAGAGAGAGATAATCCTAAAAGAATAAAAGGAAATGTATAGTAAACCTATAGTTATTGGAGAAACTCAGGCATTAACCCAAAGGCAAGAGCTGAATGAGGCAAAGACTGCAGCACAAGTACTGTCAATTTAACTGCACTGATAATGTTTACTATACTCTCAGAGCATAAATTGAAAATAGGTCTAATGAGTGTAGCAATAAAAATAATAGGTTTTTTAATCTGGTTAAATGGCTGTGTGTCCAAGCAGGACAATAACCTGTGACAATCGATGCACAGCAACAACAGTCTCTGCAGCATTAGAGGCTTACAGTGAAGAGCAGGGAAAATCCTATCACTGCTATCGTTTATCTGTGTGTGTGTGTGTGTGTGTGTATCACATCCGACACAAAATGACACAGTAACTACACTACAGCTCCAAAGTCACAAAAAATGGTAAAGAGATATGTCTGCTTGCACAGTGTTAATTGACTTTTTTTTCCTTTTTTTGGGGGGGGGGGGTATTTATTACAAAAGATGAAAAAGACACAATGAAATAATCAGCATACTGCTTCACCAATGACACCACCACACATTCATTACACTCAGTCATTGATCACAGGATTCTTTGATGCTGCCTTACTACACTTATTAGAGCCGCAAGTTCCTGTTAATTTTGCAGCCCATGAATTATGTTTAATATGCAAGCTTGAGTTGGACTTCCGAGGACATCATGATCTTATTATACAGCATCAGCCTGAGGGCTGTGTTCGCACTTGTACGTCAGCTGTCCCCTGAGGCCTGACCAAAGGAAAAACCAAAAAATAAATAAATTCTAAAACTGGTAGCAGAATGTTTTCATAGAATAGAAAATCAAATCAACAGTAACAAAAAGGAATCAGTAAGTGTAAGAGTAAAATGATAATAAAAATCCAAAACTGACTGGATTAAACAGGCAGGATAAATTATACGAGATCAGGTAAAAGCATGTTTATAACAGAAGGTTTCTCAAGGGAATTTAAAAATGGTTTAGGCAGAAATGTTTAAATTCCAAATCTGGCCGGCACGGCTCAACCATCCTTCAAAATAAGGCGGATTTTCAGGAAATGAGAGACGATTATGGGTCATATTCCTGGGACTAGGGAGGCTCCAACTGTAGTCTGCAGCTAATTCATTTGTGATAAGTGAAATCTTAAAATCAATTCTAAATTCAATTGGAAGCCAGTGCAGGCTGGAAAAAAAAAACGAGTAATATGGTCTCTTTTCCTGGCACCTGCTAAAAATTCTGGCTGCTGAACATTCGACCAGATTTATGCCAGAAAGACTTTGAGTGGTTTGAGTAAAGAGAGCTGCAGGAGTCGAGGTAAAATGACATTAAGGCATGAATTATTGTACCTTTTTTCTCAGTCTTCAAAGCAGATATTTCATTTTGGAGAATTCACTGAGTCGAACAAGACACCTCAGGACAAATCGCTTAGCCCGTGCATTAAAGACATTTCGTGTGCAGGGCTTAACATTTGGTTCAAGGCCGCCAGGTTTTTTCCAAAGTTTAGCACTGACTTAGGGCAAACCAAACAAAAGACATGATTCATTGTTTCCTTTTAGATGGAGCCCATTTCGGGTTCACAAATATTGTTCACAAATGAAGATTTTGGAGTCGTCTGTAGTGTTAAGTATCATATCTATTCGTCTATTTGATTGAGCTACATGATCGGCACCACATGACTCCTCCCTGTCACGCAGCCCAGATGTTTCCTTCAAGTTGTTTCGAGTTCATTTACAACGCAACAAACGGGTTGGGAGTAAACTCATCCCGACTCACAGTATATATACTTGTACACACATGCAGCTGTCTCCACATGCAGACAAACATGCGCGCACACACACACACAAAACCTCTGACTGACTTTGCACAAATTGAAGTGGATTTAAACCAGTGTAATTAACAGCCAGTGATTTATTGTTAATAGCTGCAGCGTTCTTGGCTCCATTTAAAGGCCTGAGTCAAACAAATGCAAAGTGCTGAGTGTCTGGTTCAGCACCCAACGTTCACTTGACTCCCTTTCAGACACCCACTTTTACATCTGTTTTGTTCTAATCAATGCCAATGCCATCAACGTACCTAATAAAAACTGTCGAGTTTTACTGCGACACCTCATTCGAGACTGTCCTCCTCCAGCTCCTGGAAATGATTTTTTGGCTGTGCTTTGAGATGCAACAGACAGAATAATCTGCATCTACAGCTCACCTGGCATACTAATCATGATCAACATCCAGTAGTTTGTAATGGGATTCTATTCAATGTAGATTTTAAAAGAAGTAGTCCCCCTTTATATATCTCTCAAAAAAAGATGTCTTAGTGTTGCAACAGGCGATCATTACAGATGCCTGGTATTTCAATCAGTGCAGGCAGCCGACCGCCCTGCTCACCTTGACACCGCATAATCTCTCACAGTGGTAAACGGCAGCGCGCAACCAGACAAACCGCAGTATTCATGAGGTGGATCCTGTTGCCATTATGTAAGTGTGTCTGTCAGAGTCCCCCCCCCCCACACACACACACACACGCACACAAACCCACCCGCACACACCCAACTCAGGCTGGTGGCTGGAGGAGGCTTTAGCAGATTAAAGTCCCCCTACACTTAACCACAGTTGAGGCTGTAATCTGAGTTTCTCTCAGCAGTACCTAGTAGTCAGATGTGCGCGGGCGTGGGATTACAATGATGGCTGGTCCAGATAAATCCCCTAGCACCCTGGGGAAACGTGGAGTACACCGAGAAGGAAAAGACTCTCTGTGCGTGTGTGTGTGTGTGTGTATATGTATGTGTGTGTGTGATTGCACACCAACCCATGGGGTCTCAAAAATTGAGGTTCCCATGGTTACAGACTGCTTTTTGACGGTTAAGACTTGGCTTTAGGGTTCAGATTAGGCATTTAGTTGTGATGGTTACAGTTAGGTTAAGGAGCTAGGGAATGCATCCCGTCAATGAGTGTCCCTCAAGAGGGTAATGAAACAAGCTTGTGTGTGTGTGTCTGTACAAAATTCCCACAAATGTAATGATTCTGCATTCCAGTTACCTTTTGCTGATGTTGTAATATTGTGCAGGGATCAAAGCATCATGATATAAACTAAAATCCTCGGGCTCACATCAATACCCGGGCTCTGATCTCAGTTTTAGCAAAGCAAATGATCTTTGGTTCAACACCTCCTCCAGTGACCGAGCGCTCTTCACTGGGCTAATGGGCTTCCCTCTCGCTTTATGAATCACAATAATAATGCAAATAAGAAAAACGACAGCAGCGACAGTGGCCAATGTGGGCAGCCAGATGCGATCAAAGACAAGTCTAAAGTAGGAGATTTTTACTGGGAAATAAGGATGAAGTAAGCAGAAAATCTAGGTCACTTTGCCAGGCTGAGCAGTGCTTTGACAGATGCCTGTGTTGGGGTCAAGTGAGCACTGGCCACAACGTGGAAACTTAATATGGTTAGAGGGGAAATGTGGCAGTCAAAACATGTCAAGATTAAAAGAAGCGTGAAGCGGGAAAAGAAACCTGAGTGTTTTCAGTGTCGATGAATGGAGAATATACATGGTAAAATGCATCAAATAAAAACCAGTACTCAAGTAATGGTCAAGTTTGCGGCCTATTCAAAGTAAAAGCTACTTCAGAATAAAACCCAGGTAAAAAAAATTATAAGAGGGGGGGAAAAAAAAAAAAGAGTTATATGACTTAGTCAAAACAATAACAGTCATTCTACACCCACCATTCCACTGTTGTGTATATAAGAAAAAATATGGCTATAACTCACTGATTCATTCATTCTGATCAATTCTGCATATGTTTCACAATAAAAGTCTTCCTGAAAATTGCATGGATTACCATTTGCTTGGTGGCTTTAATGTCATTTATATGCAAATAGTACATTAACAGCAACAAGCAGCAACAGCACATTAACAAAAGCAGAAGAAAAGTGTGAGAACAGGGAGGTTTTATATTAAAATAAAATGAATTATATGATGATGTATGGTATTTAGCCTGTATCATAATAACACGTGGATATGGTGGTGTTAATACCTGCATGCAGCAGTTAGATAGTGTTTGAACTGATTTTCTGTCTTTGTTTCTTTGAGGCAGTGTGGAGCTGGACTTCAAGCAGCAGGAGGACAAGCTGCAGCCGCTGATGAAGAGGCTTTGCCCTACGGAGGATGCTCATTTCGCCCCCCTGCCTTACCCCCAGGAGGCCTTCACCTCCACCCCAAAACGCAAGTCCAAAGCTGACTCCAAGAAGCATGCTCGCTGGAAACTTTGGTTCCTGTGAACACCGATGTTACCGATACACGGGATTTATGTGTCCGTCTGGTCGTCCATGTTTGTTTGGTTTATCCATCGTCTTCTGTTTTACCACTCCTTGGCTTTTTGTAAACCTAGTGACCAGTATTAATGGAGAGCTCCACAACTGGATACTGAACCCCTTTCTCAGAGACGACAGGATGTGTAACGGGACACAAGTGTGGATTCCATGGAAAAATTCAAAACTGTCACGCTTACCAAAAATGGATTCAGTTATTTTGAACTACTTTCTTCAAACAGGGTGTGAAATTACACCAGGGCAACATATTTGGAGATCAGCAAGGTGAGAAGACGAATTTGATTTCCCTCTGTCTATTTGCATATATTTTTCTAGCTGACGTCCACGGGGTCCCTATTCTATGATACCGGTTCAGTGACCGTCACATTTCTATTCACCAGTTGGGACTTTGTCTTTCTTCCCAGCCTCCAGGAGAGGCTGCCAGTTCAACCACAATGTTCTGAGGTCTACATCAACAGCATAAGCACAATTAACACTGTTCAGGATACATTTTCTCCAGAATAATTAAAAATGAACTATTTTGAGTATTAACTCACACATGTAGATCACCTACTAACTATGACAGATTGAAGACTTTCATAATATCTAAAGAAGAGACCTAAAGGACAAAGAGGTCAGAGATGTTTATTGGAGTTCTATGATCAACTTTCTATCCATCGCTAAAATGTCTCCTCGAATCACCTGACTTTGAAGTAAAGAATGAATAAATAACACTTATTTTCTTAATAACGTTTGCAAAGTTAGACGTCAATGTACTTTTTTCTATATAAATATATATCTATATACATTCACTCTAAGGTTTAGTGGAATATATTTATTTGAGCTGCGGTGAAGGGGGCTGTGCATTTCAAAAAATTACAGTGCATAGGAAGTGAAAAAAGGTTCTGATTCTTAATTCCCTTTCATACATCAAACTTAGTTCTTACTAACTTCACAGTGCATATGGTCAATGAAACCCAATACCATAAAGAAGAGAGGGAATCCATACAGTCAGACTTCATTACTGTAAAACTATAGAGTTCTGGCTCGACACACAGAAAAAAAAAAAAAAAAAAAAAAAAAAAAAAAAGATTCCTTATTGTTCCAGTCACGAAACCAGTCAGCATAATAAATAATGTTGGTACTTAGCACATGTGAGGGGTAAAAGATGATAGCTGTGATTGTATTGCTTCAGTATCCTGCATCAGCTACTACGATAGCTACTGAAACCAAGCCAGAGGGACTGAATGTGCCACTTCTGATCACAACCAGGGCTTCTACAGTGCAGGGTGGCAGGCGTGTAAGCCTTGCATGCTTTTTACAACCTTCAGATTTTGCAGGATATTTTCTAGCTTTTCAAGAAACACTTTTTAAAGAGAATGACAAAAAGTTTTTTCTCTTCTCCCCCCCCCCCCTTTTTTTTTTTAAACTCCTAGCACCTGCTCATTGCTTCCCATCTATTTGACTGTAAAGTAAAAACTCATGTAGTAACTCCATACAGGGTTCAAAGACTATGTACAGACAAAGTAATATTTGCATTAATATAAATAAATATATATTGTATAGCATAAAATAGGGCTAAAAAACCATTTTAATGAGTGGGAGAGCAGCCAATACCTGAGAGAAAACAATATTAAGTTAACAGCGCCTGCAGGAGCATAAAACCGAAGTCACTCTCAAAGCCAAAAGCACTGCCCAAAAAGACAGGAAAAGTGGCCAAAGTGGTTTCAAGGGCATAAAAGAAATCTTTATCTACTGTCACAACAATACCTGGCAAACTACTAGACTACTATCACTGGTTTGACCCTCACAAGCTCCAACATGCTGCTTTCTGTTGGCTACATGTGATTCACACCTCCACTCTTGTACATGCCAGGTCCGGTTTCTTTCAGTAGTTATACTGTAGCATCAAGAGAGAACTAGATGTTTATCTGTACCTTAAAAGAAGTGCAATTGATTTATTATGTACAATACTGTGTATTTTATACTGTTTTTTTTAAAAAAGAAAAAAAATAAAGATATTTAATATGCAAAATATGAAAAATAAAAAATGACATCTACAGAGCTCTCAAAGTATGATGTAGACTGAGTATCATTTGCAGAGCTGTTGCAGTTACTTTCATCAGGCAAAGATCGATTAAAGGGTCGGTTCCCCCAGAATACAAAAACATATCTTATCTCACTTATCTGTAATGGTAAAGTTGGATGAGTAATTAGCAGATAGTTTAGATTTTAATCACCCAGGTATGTGTGGTATTTCTAGAGAGATTTTGCCGAAAAATACTGATGTTGCTTTTGGTGAATTTAAATGTCATTGTTTTCATGGCTGAGAGCACCAGAAAACAAAAATTTCCTTCTCCTGCACTCTATTGCTTTCGCAACCAAAAATCACAAAGACAGATATCTAAAAACGCAGGCCAAAAAAAAAAAAAAAAAAAAAAAAAAACACTATCTGCATGTCTATCTGCTAGGAGTAAGTGAGGGAATATGTCTTCTGTAATTTGGGTGAACCTATCTAACTTAAGATTTCACTTAGGGCACATGGTTTGAAAATTCTGTATGTAAAACAATCAACTCCACAAATTTATGTGATGAAAAGCCGGAGATAAAGTTGAAAATACATATAAAATCAGCCCTGCATCTCTTTGATGTGGTAGAGTGGCAGAACACGAGAGCAGAATACAACCGAGGGATAAGCAGCAAAAAGGGCTCCTGGTGCACAGAGTCAACCTGCCTTAGAACCTGCTTCTGATGCAAAGCTTACACTCACAGCACAGTTCTTGCCCTTACCATTCTTACTTTAATGCTGTCTGGGGACTGCTGGGCATGTCCGTGTGTTGGTGTGTGTAAATGCACCTGCCTAATGTTTGCGCGCACCATCGATGAGATGACACCATGAGGTTAACCGTGGACAAAGCTCTGAGTAAAAGCCCCAGAGATGCAGAGTCACCCCCGCACAGACGCATGAAGCTCCAGGAACCAGTGCTGCTCGAGGCTGCCCCCCCCCCCCCATAGCAGGGCCACCTCCACAGGGCTTTCCACCGCTGGATGTTTACAGCACACTACTGAGGGTACAAACAAGATGCCCAGCGCTTACTGCAGTCCACTGTGGTTTGAAGGTGATGAGCATCAACATGCGAGCCCTGGTCGTTGTCACGCTGTGTTGACAGCGAGCACGCGTCTGACACGAGCTTGTCGCAGGGTCAATAAACCCGAGAGGACACTTGGTCAAAGTTTCGGCGGGGGAGAGGAGAGAGGAGAGGAGAAGTGCATGAATTGAGTGATAAGTGCACGTTTGAGGCATTATGATGCAGTGCCATATCTCACTATGCTTCTTTTCTGTAAGAGCTCTGCAGCAGTCTGGCCAGCAGGAGAGAGAGAGAGAGAGAGAGAGAGAGAGAGAGAGAGAGAGAGGGAGAACACAGAAAGCAAGTGGCAAGGATACACTAACAGACATATTTGAACAGAAATATATAAAGACAGGTAAAGATGGTGAGTGATACAGAGGGATAAAAGAGAGGATTCTGATCTGATGACATGTCATTGAGACGGCTGTGTTGCAATGTGCTGTGTTCGGTCAGTGAGTGCATGCAGCAAAGGAAAAAACGCTCTAGCCGCTATAGTTGGTCAGCCCTATACTGTCAATCAATAGCACAGAGTCCTTCCACTGCAGCTTTCCACTCCATTCCTTCTGCACACTGCAGGAATATCAGCAGGATGACAGTGAAGGACTACAGTCACATATGACCACAGCCTCTTGTCGATTTCGACGGCAAAACTACAGCTATGAAAAGTTCAATGGATCATTTAGTCAACATTAAGGTAAAGCTAGCAATCTGGTCTGTTAGGCTTTATCTTAATATTAATTCTGACATTTAGGTGTTTGCTGGTGATATATTACTTAATATGCAAAGGTCAGTGTGGCAAACATAACAGAGTAAGAAAAATGTAATGGTTTGTTTCATTGCTTTGGTTGGATTTTTGCAGCTGCGGCTCCCTATCCATGTTTATCTGCAGGGCTAATTCAAGGACATAAAAGGTAGAAGTTGGCAAATTTCAGCAGGGACAGCCAAAATGTTTCTGCTACTCTCCCAACATAAATGTATTCACAAGGACTCATCTCAACCTGCGTGAGGGTGGACATGAATATAAATATACAGCCCCGCTGGGATGTCCAACGACGCAATTGTGTGGCAATGCTGTGTCGAAGTCGCTAACAGGCGTAGCACTGCGGTGACAACATACAACAAAAACTGACGCCCCCGAGCAGTCACTGTGATCATTCTCATCAACATTCAGTGTCCAGCACCACCAGGAGAGAGGAAAAAAGGGGAAAAAGAGAGGAGGGAGAGCATCAGAGAGAGCGAGAGAGCGAGAGAGCGAGAGAGAGAGAGACAGAGAGAGAGAGAGAGACGGGAGGCAGAGTAGAACGTTAATGCATAAATCTAAATGTAAGAGGCTGCCACTCAGAAGAACAAGGTCGGTGGTTGGCTGCGGTGATGTGCGAGGAGCGGCGCGCAATCTGCCTGCAGAGTAAGCAGCAGTACCCAGAGGCGGCAACAACAGCCCTCTGATTAGAGAGCTACGGCTCTTCCAGCAGCACTAACTGGGTCTCATGGCTGTTAAAAATTAACACCAACCTTATTGATCATTAAATAATGATTTGGGGACCGGCTTCAAATGCAGCTTCTGTCTCAAGTGCTATAATATGTATAGTGTTTGAGTAAAAAGAGCCACGAGCGCTTTCAAAAGCACAAGGCTTTGATGTGACCTCTAACTCCCACTGTGTAAAAGGACACTGCACAATGATGCTAAATATTATGCAGGTACTTAGAAATGTCAAGGCAATCGAGTACAGTGGCTGCCTAGCTATAGCGACAGTGGCTGACAAAAGGCAGGGACATAAAAGCAAGCTGTATATAGGAGGTGAAGTAAGACAAAGGGCAGCAGCACATGTGTATTACGTAGAT